TTAGAAGTTCAAAATAACTTAGACAAGGATATACAAAGGAGATAGAAATGAAAACTATTTAGACAGGTATAGGTAGATAAGGCCATTCGGGATAGAAAGGGTGAATTCTCTGAAAAAGGCTGTCTATTTAATCTTATCTGTTGAAATTCAATCGAATTGTTTCACGGTATACATATAACCAATTTTTTCAAAACAACCAATTCTTTTTGACATGCAAACAGGTGAGAAGTAAAAAGAAGACAATCCTTTTTCTTTTTCCAACAGGCATAATGAATCTCTTCCGCAAGCATCCTTCTACCTACCTGCACAAACCGTAAAGCACAACAAATAAGTTCAAAGAGAACCAGTACAATCGCATACTCACGTCGGACTTTTCCATTCACATGCGAACACACATTTCCTTTGCCTTTTCAATGAACATTCAACGAATAAGGTCAAGCAAGTGTGGGTTCACACAGATGTGAAGGGAAATATGAGTCAATCAACTGACTGACCTTGAGCGAAACTTAATCCGGCTCACTCAAGAAAACCAAGTAATATTCCAATCAGAATAAGGGATAACCTCCTTTGAAGTTGACAATATGCTGCCCACAACACCACAACTTATGCCTGTTCGAATGAATGACGATCAGCCTCTCCTCCATGTACCTAAATGAGCAGAGATTGATCTCAACAAAACTCAAACGAAGTAGCCCTCCAGAAGGGTGTTCCCACGAATGAATTTTCACGTTGTCCCAATGTCTGTCTCAACACCATCCCACTCCACTACGTCCTCCAAAGACACTCTCCAACCAAACACAAGTCCACATCGCCTCCAATCACCACGTCTGCTTACAATAGCCACACATATGAGAGTATGCGCAGCACGTTGGGAATAAAATCTCGAAACTGTACTACAAAAGAGAGGTTTTCCACAAAAGGCAAAATTCCGAAATTGGAGAATAACGAGAACAAAAAATCGAAATTAAGGAATAAAGAAATGCAAAATTTTGAGTGAAGGGACGAAAAATAATTTTCGAAATTCAGGGATAGAAAGTCGAAATTTCGTGCATGCGCAAAAAAACAACGAATTGGCGCAATAAAAGAGTCCAAAAAAATAAACTTTTTGAAAAACGAAGCAATTTTTTCGAAGTACTCAATAATACAAGGAACCAAAATTTCTTGCTGGTAATTGATGCCCGTTCCAGTATTTTCGAGAAGAAAAACAATTCGCAAAAACACAATTAAAAAAAAATAAAAAAATTTGCAGGGGTGAATTCTGAAAATGTTCAGAACGCGCAATTTCAGATTTATAAAGAAACCAGACTTCCGCTAAAAAAACGAATATTCATAACGATAAAAAAAAGACCTTGGTAGTTAGGTTAAAATCGCAAATGGGGGTTAGTTAGGTCGACCTAATCAATTAATTAATCAATCAATCAATCAAATAGTTAGGTTAAAATCGCAAATGATACGGAGGTGTGGTCGAACCGAGAGTTCAAACTTCGGTCAGGAGCTAGATCACTTGTTGATTTGCATGATAGCAGTGAAATTCACTTGTAGAAGTCATTCCTGGTAGAGTTTAGTAAGTGTCAACGGACCCAACCGTAAGTCAAAAGCATAGGTTGTCCTTTCTAATCGTTCGTCAATATCGAACCTCCGCCCCGGAAACGGCGTTATAATAATCTCTTCGGTCATATAGGTTGGGACGAATAACTGTGGCAGATCATCTCATCAAGTCGAAAACCAATCTTATGTGATTGGATAACAGGTGTATTGATTTTATTTATTCTGTGATCAGAGAATTATAAAGGAACTAGGATTATTTTGTGGGTTTCATGTTTGGTTGAGACCGTCCTAGTCGACCGACGTTCGTTTCGTTCCTAGGAGATCAGTGCCCTAGGAGACGAACAACGTTCGAGTCCACTTGGCGTTAACCAAGTGTACCTATACTCTTGCGAACGAGCAAACACCGTCGACTGACCTACCTCTGCAATTGCATGTAAAAGCTTTCGCATGTGGGTCAGTAGTTCGGTAGGGATACGCCCTTGAGGGTGGTCACAACCCCTCAGGGAAGGTAAGATGCGCCCCGCGAAAACCTATCCTGTCGTAGAGAACCGTGAGATGTACAGCTGGCGCACCCGTGTGACGAACCAATTTCTGTTCCGTGCGACTTTCTGCGCGATGAGAATGAGGCGTCCTGAGATGGGAAGGATGGGCCAATTACGGGAGATCGGGATCGAAGGGAAATTGCATCGGTGTCCTCGCTTCTTCGTTTTTTCGCGTTGCTTCTTTTTGGATGGTTGGGTTCGAGGCTGGGCAAATCGTGGGACGATCGGTTGAGTGGCGCGCCGATGAGCGCGCGAGTAATAATGGTTGACGTCGTCTCCTTTTTGTTTGGGCTGTCAGATTTTAGGCGCGGAGATCGCGCGGGAATTTTGCTTCGTTCTTTTCGAATTTTCCTTTTCCTTTCGAATCTTGTCGAGCCCCGATGGCTCTCGGAATTTCGGACTTTCTTTTCGGAATATGCGCTTTATTAAAAAGTTCGTTTTGCAATAAGTTTAGAAATTTAGGAATTCGAGATTTCTTTTGCCGCGCGCTGCTTGTGCTTGCACGCTTCTTTTTGCGGCTGCAACGGATCTCTTATAGTCGGCGCCCTTAATCTTGCAAGTAACTTTAATTTTGGGTGGACGTCATTGTAACTGTATCTTTCTTCTTGAGCTTCATCTTTCCCGCTCTCTCCTTTCCTTTTTATCATGGATGTCTAGCCCGCGGGCTGCATGATCGGATCGATGAGTGGAGAGTGGCTACGTCCCCCACGCCGCGGTCTGGCCATGTAGAATGTAGGCGCTCCCTTACCTAATCTCCTTTCTAAGTCCTTGCAATTCCGTGTTCTTCGCGCTTGCATGCACGCTATAAATTTCGGCCGCGCGATTAGATAGCTCTCTTAACTTGCTGTTGGAAGCTCGGCGTAGCGCGGTCAGTGAGGGTCGGCTCACGAGCGAAGTAAGAGGTGAGTTGAAGTGGGAGTCGGGTGACTCGACGAGCTGGTGCCGAATGCTCGGGGTTGACGTGTGGGGCTACGACGGACTGTAACGCGCGGGCGAACCTGACGGGTGTAGGAGGACTAAGCGGGGTGACGACGTCGTGGGTTGGTGAGTGACGACGGGCTGTCCGCATCGGAGAGAAAGCGAGAGGAAGAGGGAGCTGAGGTTGATGGACGTGGATTTGAAGTTTTCTTTGTTTTGTCTCCCTCTTTACTTTTGTATATAAATTTTGATCTYGGCTCAGGGCGACTCGCCCGTCTTCTTTTGTTTTCGGAATCTTTGCCCCGGCTTCAGCCCACGCTTGTTTTGCGATTGATCTTGATCTCGGCTATTGTATGTTTTGTCGAATGAATGGATGAATGAATGATATGTTTGTCGTTTTTACCTAGTCATCATCATTGCTTGTCACTTTGATCCACTGTTAATATGGTAGGAGCTCTGATGTTGTTGCGATGACTGATGTGTTGCAAATGATTGCTTGTGGGACCATGGAGGATTAGATGATTGGGTAGTTGTCCATGCCACGTGGCGATTTTGCATGAAGAATTAGACTCTCACTTTTCCAGGAACAAGTGAACACCTCGCGGGGCTACGTGTAAACGCGATCTGGTCTGCGAGGCCTACACGTATCCACGCGCGCTGATTCTCGACCATCGACGAACCTGACACCTCTAGTATCGAATAGGTGGAAATTTTCCTTCTTTCGCGCACCTACGCTGGTAGGAATTTTCGATACCATATCGGGAAATCCCCTTAGATACGTGCAGAAGGCTTCCACTACGCCGCAATGACAAGATGATGTATACAGGGGCACCAATATAACCCATATTGGTGCACCCTCTATTTCCAGGATACACCTTCTCCACCATATAACCCATAGGACGACATGTTTTCCTAGGTGGAATATGTTCTCTTCGAATGTGTTCCCTCGGATCTGGGGGTAATACCCCAAAAGTATGACCCTCCAGTCCCATGGCCATGATGAGCCTGGTACTACGTGCCGCCAAATCCTGTCCCACCACCTCCACAGTAGTATAGCCGCAGGGCACTGAAGGAAGATGTGCTCTATCGTTTCGGAGCGCTTTTTTGTGGGGTAGCACTAGAAGCAACTATGGCACCATGGCAGTGGCCGTCCCTGTTGCTCCAAGTGAGTGTGATCTATTAGCTAGTCGTTGGTTGGTAGACACCGGTGTGCAATTTGCCACTGCATGGCGGAGATTTTTGCCGGCCTCTTTCCATAGTCTCCAAACCACCTTATGGGTTTGAGCAGGCCACGGTCTATGTTGAGATGGCGATACCATCTATCTTCTACTATTTCCCGCAGTCTGCGTTTAGGTCTAAGCATTCAGTATACTGACTTAGTATTTAGGTTGACAAGTGTTAACGTCCGTGCCTTTCCCTCCCTTCTTGAGTTTGTCGGGTCATTCCAGGACCAACGCCACTCATCGGGATCAAAAGGGAGATCCTCAATCGGGTTCTTTGGCCGGTAGGCCCTCCATCCTCTTCCCTCATTAATTACTCTGACACGATATACTTCCTTTTTCCCCTTCCAGATAAAGGGTCGTCGACTCCTTCGTCATTGATCATTCTCCTGGATGGAAAAGACCTCGATCAGCACTTGCGTTCGGTCTACTAGGTGCACTTGCCCTACCTGATTTTCCTAGTTAGGAAGCCCTACCTAGTCTCCTCCTTCTAGACAGGGACCCTTCCGGAGGGTGATGTACCAATGGAGACGGAAGCTAGCAATGCGTTCATTTAGTGCAGTCTCAGTGAAGTGATAGTACCGCAGCCATGTACGCATTCTTTTTGCACTCTTCCAATTCCTTGTAGCCATGTCCCAGAGGTCCCTCACCTTCCTGGCCCCGTGTTTCACCCAACCTTTCCATGGAGAGTCTGAACTACATCTCATGCGACCGAAGGAATTTTGTGATCATTTTGTTACCAAACAGGGGCTGTCTGAAAATTTCCTCCCACCTTTCTGGTGCTGGTTGATCTCGAGGGGGGAGCTTCCTCCATGTTCGTAGGAGGCGCAGCCATTGCTCGTCTGTGGGGTCTCCGTTCGTATATTTCCTTGGTAGCTTCCAGTACCTATCTTCAAGCCACACCAGAGGGTCAGTCTCAGGTGGGGCCTCTGGGGCCAGGGCTGCGATTTGTGCCAAGGCCCAACAAGTCATCTATGCGCAGTTGGGGCTCTCTATTCTTTACAGTGATGGCATTGAGGCCCCTATAGTCAATGCACATCCTCAAGGTTCCCCCCGTCTTCGGTACGGATATGACTGGAGATCCGTAAGGGGAGACACTAGGTCGGATCCAACCCTTCTCTATGAGTTCCTTGAGCTGTCCGCGAAGCTCATCGAGCTCTGCCGGAGACATCTGATAGATCCTACCCTTTGGAATAGTAGACCCCGGGATAGTCTCTATCGTGTGGATGACCTCCCTCTCAACAACCCCTTTCAGTTCTTCGAATAGATCAGGGTATTTAGCGACTACTCTCTCTATCTCCGACGACATTTTCACCGACTCGCCTGGTGCAGAGACATAAACTAAGTACATACCCTCCTTCGGATTTTGCTTATAATAATTATAGAATGCGGCCACACACATGGATCCGTAGGACTTGATCAGACTACTAGCCTTAAACTTACGTAATCTGGGGGTCCCCCCTCCGAGCAAAGTGTGCTTGACCACTTTTCGGTCCCAGTCAAACTGGGGCTGATCAACCGAAAGATAGTACATACCCAACAGGATGTCCATTGGGAGATCATCGTTGACTAGGAACGAGACTCGAAGTCTCAGTTCCCCTCCCGCGTACGGGAATAGTCACTCAATGTCTTTAAGGTAGTCAGTGACTACCATGTGCTGTTTGTTGGCGCAGGTCGACTCCATAGGTCGACTCAGGCGCTGCACTTGCCCTTGTAAGCGCAACCTCTCAACGCACGTGTGACTGATAAAGTTCCGCATCTGAGCAAGTGTCATGATAGGCCCTGGCCTTGCGGCTGCCTACCTTGCCGACGAACAACTCACCCTTAGGGCCTTTAGCCATAGCTGTCCAAGAAGCTAGCGGGTCTGATTTGGACCATTCCTCCTCTAGCTCCTCTAAGGAATCAAACACATACAACGAACAGAGGATCGATGGGTCCGAATGTGTTTGCGGGACGGCATTGGAGTCAATAGCTTGGGACATCTTTCGAGATGGTGAGGGTGTGTCCACCACCTCAACCCTAGCAGGAACAACTACCATTCCTACTGGCCCGACGTGTTTCCTAAGGCGGTGCCAGAACTGTTGGCTACATTGCTACCCGGGGAAGCGGAGGATCCCCTCCATCGTAGGCGGGATCTTCTCGGTCACCTTCTTGTTCCAGCACTTGAACTGGTTATCGCCATATTGGCCACAACGAATACAAGCTTGCCGGGTGTACCGGTCTCTCCACACGTCCTCTGTGAGACCCGCTTGACTCCTAGACCGGGAGCCTCCACGACATCTACCGGTGGCCTTGTCTTTTTGGACTGAGGCAGCGATTGCTCCACCCCCTGAAGCCTCTACACTGCCTGCCTCTGAACCTACTCCCTCCTGGATGTCGTAGTCTAACTCTTGTCGACGGACATAATGTGACCTTTGACCTTTAAGTTGGGAGGCAGTGACATCTTCCATTCGTTGTGGGTTGGTGTCCATGCCCTATCTTTGCTTCAAGGTCTAGGGCCTTCTTGCTAAACGAGGGAAAGTTGTGCACATTAATGTTGGCCTCACAGGCCAACTGATTCCTGGGTGGCATAGGAAGACATCTCAGGTAAGTGGTTAGTAAGGCTTGGGGGTCATAGAGTACTCCAGGCACACAGATCAGACGCTCAACTGCATTTGTGGCATCCTGTACTGACTTGAACGGTCTATTGCTCAAAGTCAAGATCGCATGAGTGGCCTTTTGGGCCTCCTGAGGAGCATGCCACCTTTCCTCCACCAGCTTAAGGAAGTCCTCCAGTTTCTGGTTGACTTCCCAAGCGCGGAAGTCATGTCCGGATCCCTGTAGTTGCACTAGCCCACTTAACCATCTTGCTGCACTCCCCTCAAGGCAGCCACAAGCACTTCCTCATGCGGCAAGGTCAACTTGCACTTTACGTAGACTGGCACTGACCTCAACCATGTGTCAAGGTCTTCGCCTCTCTCATCCTCTGAAAAGGGTTTAGGCGAGGCGATGGCAGTCTTTGGAACCCAGTGGCCTTGTCTCGGTACCTGCGCCACTCCAGGCTATAGACCCTGGGGTGCAGGATGCTGCACTAGTTGTTGTTGAGGCTGTGTGCTTTGCGGTTGTGCTGGCAGTGAGACAGCAGACTGCCCAGTTCCGACAGTATGCAACGGAGGTTGGGAATCCACTGTCTATACAAGAATTTGTACACTGGGACCTGCCGAGAACCCGCATGTCAAAGGCATACCTAATAGGGAAGCGGCCTGGACCGATGTTGGAGAAACTATGTATGGGGATACTCCAGACACCGGTGGGACAAAAGGAGGAGGCTGTACCACAGGCCAGGCACGAGGCCCTGATGGTGATGGTGCTACCTGAGCTCTCCCGGCCAGCACGGCCAGGCTCTGTTGAATGTCCTATAAAAGTGTCGTGTGATAGTCCTGCATCTCTATTTCATCTAGCAGGGCAGTTCTCACGACCTTCACATCATCATCCATATGCGTCAGGTCCATCTCCTCTAACTCTCTAAGGTCCGCTTGTCTCCGCTGCATCCTTGACTTATGTCTAAGCATTCTCTCCTTTTCTGCCTTTATCTCTCCTAACGCCTTCTGTAGTTGTGCCTCCTGAGCATCTGCTCGCTGTATGGCGACCTCCTCGGGAGTTAACACTAACTGTTGGCTTGCCATGACGCCAGCGGACTGACTCTGGGTCTGTGCGACCGTTGCCCCTACAGTCTTTAAACTACTAGCCTGAGAGCTTTGTTGCGCAACTGTGGCCATGGCTGCTGAAGTAGCGGCTTCGCTTGCGAATGCTCTACTTGCCTTGGCGGCCCTAGCTCTATGCTGCTGCTGCTGTCTCTCCCTTTGCTGGCAGAACAGGAATCTGTCACCCTCGGGTCCTAATGCCACGTGTGCTATAGGGCGCCTTGCTGATCGCAGGATCCTATCATCGTCGCTAGTGTTCTCCCTGTCACTCATAAGTTACAGCACTGTACACAATCTGAACTAGGTCACACTCGATGCCTACCGCAGCGTAGTGCACAGACCGATTTAAAATAAATAAATTAATTAATTGGTGGCCATGTCAGAGTCAACACATTCGTGTCCAACAGGTAAGTCCAGATTCCTACAAACGAAACTATATGATTTTGACTAGTCCACAAACAGAAAGCACACAGTAATTTCTACCTATGCTGCTTGTCAGATGTGTTAATGGTTGTAACATCGAACTAATCAAAAATAAAAATAGAATCATTTGCATGGCTGTTTGCAGAGTGGAATCTTTCCCGAACTGATCACCTGAAACCTACCCCTCCCTCAATTCTTATTGATTGTCGCTTGACGTTAGCGTTCCTGAGAAATCCGGATAGCGTGCGTGTCTAAAGGTGTGCACACGGCCCACCCTTGTGCCTCGAGTGTATGCTGAGTTGGCCAGCCCTGCGCAATGTTTACCCTCGCGTGCAGCGAGCCTTACACCGACCGATTGGCTGATCAAGAGGCGTTTAAGGATTATCCCCGAAGTCCTCAAGAATTATTTTACATCGCAAACATGATGACGATCACAGCCAATGGAAGGTAACCCCGCCGGTGCTTATTTATAGACGCCCGGTACTCGTCTCCCCTGTAGGGCTGGCCTGCCCCTCATAACCCATCTATCAGCGCAACGAGCAGACAAAGGACGAAGCAGCAAAGCATGTGTGCTCTACTCCTGGTGGGTTGGCATGGTGACCGTGACCCAGTGCTTCGTCCAGGGCCCTTCAAATAGCTCTGCCCTCTCCTTCCAGATGCTCCACGTGAACAATGCCGACTCTCAAGGTTGAGCGCACTCGACTCCTCACATGAGAGGACTCTCAAGACAGAACGCACATCCTCACGGTAAGAAGTGTTGAAGAGGGCAGTTAAGGTTAAGAGCAACGTACCTCAAAATAGCTGCCCCCAACCACATATATTCTCACCAGATGCCCTGATGCCGATTGTGATGACCAATCGCTGCTTCGGCACAACCAGCATTACACCGCCGTTCCACCTCAACATCAATCGCACATCAGATAGTTCTCATCACACTGCGAACACCCAATATTCACCACATAGCCTTCCTGGCGATACCCCTCACCTCCTCGGTCGCCTGCTTGCCTTCGCCCTCGTCACTACACACTCCCTATGGCCGCTCACCCAGCAGACCGCATGCATGTAGGCAGAAGACTAGCGCCAGATTAACACAACGTACCACAGCTCCGATACCAAATTGCAAGGAAAATGAGTGATAGTGAACTTCAGAAACCAAGCAGCATCATACACATGAGACCAGATAGTCGTGACCTCGAACCAAAAGCAGAATTGCAACACGAGTTCCACCAAATAAGAGCACAGCAAAAGCTCATAAGTGACAATGTTGGAATAATCTCATCATCATCAACAAAGAACCAATGTCGACATCCTATCTGGCGCTCTACGCCCAGACTACAAATGGCAGATCCTATCTAGCCTATCTACAATGCCGCTGGTGACGTCAACAGCTCCCCGAAGTACGAGCAGATCTTGGCCAATGCCATTCGCCTCAAGCACCAGGTATGTCTCTCGTATCACTCACAACCTCGATCCCCCACTCACAGATGCCACATGCACCACCATGCGCCCCATCCAGCACAGTGCAGCGGAGCTTGGCTATGGCTGCCTGCTCTCCCTGCTCGCCCGTGAGCTCGTGGGCTTTGCCAGCGAGTAGCGCAGCAGCGCTTGCGCAGCATGCGGCCAGTGCCCGAATGCCGAATGCGGGGGCAGGCCCTTTCCGATATGGAAGTGCCCTGCCAGCTGTGTGCGGCCAGGCTGTGCTGGGCCTCGGCCCAGAAGCTTCGGTAGGCCCCAAGAGGCTGAGCCCCGGTCCTGACGAATCAGGCCCAGGGCCTGTGAC